GGAATTTTTTGAGGTTTTTTTTTTTTTTTTTTTTTCTCCGCGCGGAATTGAACTCCGCGTTCGGTCCAGTTCATTGAACGCGCGTGCATTCCGTTCAATTTCTGAACGAAAAACCCGCGTTCAATGAACGCGCGGTTTCACAGCAGAAGGGACAATGACGCTGAGTACATGCGCCGCAAGAAACACATGTTGGCATTGCTGGACAACTACCACGATGCCTCACGCAAGAACGCTAAGAACTTCCTCGACCGGTTGGAGTGTTTGTACTTCGTCAAGTCCGAACAGGCGCTGACGCTCGATACTTATGGTGCCTTGATCTCCACGGAGGACGAGGCGGAGACAGGCGTTGTTTTCGACACCGCTACGCCAGAGGAGGACAGCGACAGCGAGGACATCGACATCGATTACCATCCTGCTCCGGTGTTTCATGCCCCAGGTTCCTCGTCAACCGGTCCGTCAACAAGTCAGGCCACCCAGGCGTCGCCTGTGCTCACGGTCACCCCGGGTGAGACCCCGAGTAAGCTGGCGGCGAGACTGGCGCCTCGGCCTACCGCCCCGCCTCCGTTGCGTCCCGAGAGTTCGGTCCCGTTGCATCACCCTTCTCGCAAGGACGATACCGTTCACTTCGAAGGGCTCGACCACACTCGATCGAGCGAGGCGGGTTGGGGCCATGACATGATATGGCACCCGGGGACTATCCAGCAGGCAATCCAGAAGGGCGAGTGGATCATGGCGCTCATCAACGACCAAGGGTTGTGGGAGCCATACCCACGCCAGTTCAAGGCCGAGTACCTGGAACTCGCGAGGATTTCGGTATGCAAACCCCAACTTTCAACCCGGCGACCCGGCCATCGATTCCACTGCTGAACTTTTGTTTCAAGAACTTCAGGACAAGCAGTGGTTGGATCTGTCGGACGAATTCTACGACCTCGACACGAGCCCTTCGAATGGACGGGTGGACTGGAAGGTTCGCCCTGCGACCGGGCCACAGTGTAGACTCGGAGGGGTGAGGGGCGGAGGGGGGGGAGGCGCAAGTGGGGGGGGAAACGCAGGTGGGGGGGGCGTAGGGGGGGGAGGCGCAGGTGTAGGGAGCATAGGGGGGGGKGCCGAAGGGACCCCCCCGGGGACAGCAGAGGGTACCACCGCTTCGGATGGGGTTTCACCTCACCATGAGGCCACGTCAAGGGAAGGCGGTGGCGGTGATGGAGGGGAGAACGTTGCTGGACAGCCGACTGCCAGGTCCCGTAAGGGACCTAATGTAATCAGGACATCAGCAGGAGAACAATACCCATATGACATCAATTGGGTGTCGGGTCGTATTCAACCGGGTATTGTTGGAGGCAGACCGTGCTTTCCGTTCAAGGTCGATGGCACGTGGGTTCCATTTTCAGCCCCCATGAAGAGAACATGGCGAAACATAACTCTCGCATTTGTGTATGACAAAGTATCGAGGTTGAACGACGGGGCAACGACACAAGAGAAAGGGCGATATGCATTAGAAATATGGCGTTTTCTGGAGGCACAGAGCGAGTTCCGCCTAAACGATTTTTTGTATGACACTTTTAACTGCAGACAGCTATGGGTGATTGTTGACAACCAAGTGACAGGGAGTATGGCATGCCAAGAGAGCGACGCAAGGAAGGATGCTCGATGGGGTTGGATGTTGTCTGCGATCCCATTTCCATATGGTCATGTGAGGATGAGATGCGTGATGCGATGGGAAATGTCTGGAGCACGCATTACGTGAATGGCAACTTCTCCTTCAGGCATCTGGACAGGGAAGTCACACAAGAGGAGAAGGAGGCAATGACATGTCATCCCCATACTCCTGGCTGCTTCACCCCCCCACTTCGGAACCCTGTGGAGTTGGAGGTGGTTAAAAGGAAAGTGTTCAGTGGTGACGACTGCATCACATACGCGCAATGAAGAGGGAAAGAAGCCACCTTTGATGGACTATGCATGGAGATATGGGACCATGTGGCGATGAGGAAGGACGTTTTGTCTGCAACGGACATTAGGGTCCATGTGATCCCAGAAGGATAACTGCAGGAGCATATGACCCTTGAAAAGTATGGTTATTGTGTCAATTGGGTCCTTGGATGTTTGCATCCTGCAATTATCGATGGCAAAGTCACACTGGCAACACGACTGCAATCGGGCCACTGACTCCCATTGGGTTGGATGCACGCAGGCGTTGTGAAGCATTGGCAGTTCTTTGTGGTTGTCACGCGTGTCTCCATTTTTAATGCACATGTCAAGGACCACACATTAGTGGTCGAACACGCAAAGCGTTGCTGGGAGAAGATAAGGGAGGAGGACTATCAGATCGTGTGTATGGGACATGACTCTGTTGCTGATCAGGCGATGTGGTCCATGGTTAAGGAGACTCATGCGGGCCAAGATACGATAGACATGCAGAACCGATATATGGATGACATTCGTCAAAAGCACGGGTGCACGACAATTCTTGGTTGGGTCCCCATCGTCTGTCCCATGACATTTGAGCATGGTGGACGCATCCGCATGAGATTCAAAGACCCGCTTGGTGTGCCTTTCCATCTCACGTACTCAGATGGACTGATGAGAGACATTGAGTATGTAGCAGACGACGACTTGCCCGGTGTATCGCAGCCACAAAAGAGGACAGAGCAGCAAGAAGACATCTCTCATTTGTCCTCTAAGGTGGAAAACCCCGAGCCTCATTACGACGGGGGGTGCTCTCCAACACAACCTGACATAGGCGGCCCAAGCAATGCGGGGATGTCGCAGAGTCTGAGGAAGATGAAGAAGTGCACATTCGGACCAGCACATGCACAAATGGTCTCTACTAGAAAGACGGTGAATCAGAAGGCGGGACCAGCGATTGGCGAGACAAAGGGACGGCAGCTTCGACAGAAATCAGAAAGCTGCAACGATCGACTTACATTTGTTTGGAGAGGGACATCGCTCCAGACAAAGGTGTCAGGTTTCAGATGAATGTTGTGCATGCTTTGATGAAGGTTGTCGAAGCTTATATGGACACCAATTTCGAGACCATTCGAAGAGGGTGACGATCCAGCTCAGAGACATGAAACTAGTTGATAGGTTGTCGAAGCCTCATTGGGTTGAGAAATATCAAGGTACATTGGACGAGAAGGCGAGAAACGAGGATAGATAGCAACGGCTGGAGGCCAGACAGGCGGATAGAGATGGCAGCAGAGCAGGGGGAACGAAAAGGAAAGGAGTGTCACGCAAAGGCAACGCAAAGAAAAAAAATGCAACGTGAGAAGAAAAAAAAAAACAGACACTGACAGACATTGTAC